CGTGGTCGTGCTTCCTCTTCAGGGAGGGTGTCAGTTTGCTTCATGTATGGAGTGGAGGGGTTTAAAGTGGCTAATGATGCAGCTGTGGTCTGGCTTCTGGTTTGTGGTCGTGCCTCGTCATCGGTGTGGCTTTGGGTTTGTTTTTTGCGTGGATGTGTGGTGGTGACATCCTGTGTGGTTTTTGTGAGTGTGGGTCTGGTATCATTTTTTGTGTTAGGGAGTCATTTGTCAATAAGGCGGGTTTCCAAATGGCTGGTAGGCGGGAGGTATCATCTCGCTTGTTCAGGCTGTGTGGGCGTTTTTCTATCTCGATGGCTTCTCTGATTATTCTGTTAATAAAATGTTCACTTTTGGCAATGGTTCTGGTATTTTTAAAGTCAATTTCATGTCCTGTGGCTTTAAGGTGTTGGACCAGGGAAGATGTTGGTTCCTCTTTTTTGACTGAGTTCTTATGTTCTTCAATGCGTGCACTTATTCTTCTGTTGGTTGGTGGGGTGGGGGTGGGGAAAAAAAGTACTTTTCCCAGTAAGGTCAAAGGATTTGAAAAAGTATACAGTTAACTTTGTTAATAGAAATGGTGATAGTTTACAAAAATTAGTAGGGGCAAATAGAAACATATACTATTTCCACAGCAAGGTAAAGCAGGAATGGTTTAAATTGATCACTCCATTTAAAGAAGAGAATATACTTGAGTATGTTTTTCATTTGGATACCACTTCTGGATTTTGTGCTTGTGATTAAAAAAAATTGAATTTGGTTTTATAGATTAGATAGATTTGCTGTTATAGAAATGGATAGTTATATAACAATGTATAAAAACAAAAAGCTGAGGCTAGAGCGCTTTTCCTTTTACTGTTTTCCTTTTACTGTGCTAAAAAGAGTCGGACGTCAACACCTTTTTTTTCATTTCCCTTGTACCTCACACCTTCTTTTCCCCTTTTCTTTTCTCTCCCTTAATCTCCTATTTCCATTTTTTCTTTGTATTTTATATGTTAAATAAATAAGAACTCACATGGCAGAATGATATGGAACCAAAGCAAATCCTCACAGACAAACCTACCCATAAGCCACAGTGCATGTTCCATATGAAGCAAATTTTGCTCTGAATTTTAGGGATGGATAATGAAAGCTTTATTGTTTCCTTTGGCAGGCTCCAGAATCAAAAGAAAACAAAAGTTAATTGAATAGATAATGGAATACATTTGTATTATAAAACCAACCAAGTTGTATGTCTTTCATAAATCTCACTGAAAGCAATGAATAAAACAATATTATTTTTAAAAATACATGCAAATATTATATTTGTGGTGTTCCAAATGTCCTTTCTTCCTTGTGGTAGGAGGTTAGAATTTCAGAAGATTACTTAGCTTTTTTTATCGAAGAGAATGCTGGAATCTGATAACATTTTTCATAACAACTTATTATAAATATGCAAGTGAATAGAAAAACCATTTCTCTCAAAAACAACCTCAGTCCCAACAAAATAAATGTGCACCCTCTGCTGTTCTAAAATCCTATAAATCCCCTGCTGACATAAAGTAATACATTTATAATACAACTATAAAAGTAGAGAAGACAAGGAAAATGAAATGAAATGGGTGGAACAAAAATGGGATCAAGCATTCTTTGACCCAATTCTATCAATTAAAATAAATTAGTATTGTTAACACTGAATTATAAACATTCATTGCTTTCAGGCACATCTTCACACTTCCATTAAACTTTTTCGTATTTCCATGTATAACCTGCTTCTGTCAATTTGGAAAACCTTTCCTTCATTTCAGGGAATGGTTCTACTCCAGTAGAGACTGTGAATGAAAAAGCCACTCAAACTCTGTGGAGCCACCTAAAGGAAATAGCATGTATGTAACAACTGGGTAAATTAATGGTATCATCAGATTATGAGAAGAAATTCACTCTAAAATTGCAGGAGTCAATCAGTTTTCTGCAAAAAGTCCAGTAGGGTTACCTGGAGACCATGACAGCTGAAAATCAAATTCACCTGCTGTAAGTTTAGCACTATCAAATTAGTGGTTCTGGAAAGTGAGGATAACAGCTTGTAAAAAAAATGTTTTGGAAAAATAGTTCTGTTTAGTTCTATTCCATTTCTACTCACTAGCTGATCCTCAACCTAGGGCATCATTTCCTACAATGTTGATCTTTAACTTATTTAAACTGTTTATTTTAATATTTAATATTTTAATGTGTTGTACTTGCTTTTACAACGTTGTAAGCTACCCAGAGTCACTCGTCAGAGTGATCTACCCTGCATTATTTAATGGTATGTCCTAGCTAATTATACATCATATAGTAAAATGATGATTTCTTAGTATAACACTCCAAGTTAATGATCAATTGAGGGAAGAACAATAACTATGGCATCAGTCAAACATATCGATCAAGAGTGACTTCACAATATTAAATATTTTTTTTTTAAAAAAATGCAATTTTCAATGATTACATTTAAATGTGACTAAAAGGCTACCTGTCTCTACCTGTGGCTCAGTTAGAACTTCACCTTGATTCTTTTTATTGAATTCCTTTGAGTTGAATACATTTCATGTCATAATGCTAGATCAGAACTTTAAAGCCTCCTCAGAAAACATTCACAATCCTTTACAATTCTTGTTGGATATCTTCAAAACTTTCCAAGCATTTTTGATATCTCTATAGCAGTGTTTCCCAAACTTGACAATTTTAAGGCATGTGGACTTCAACTCCCAGAATTCCACAGCCAGCGTTGCTAGCTGTGGAATTCTGGGAGTTGAAGTCCTCATGCCTTAAAATTGTCAAGTTTGGGAAACACTGCTCTATAGTCTTCTACAATTTTTGGCAGAACATTGTTATCAAACAATATGGAAACCTGTTTTTGATTAATCTTTTGCATCTCTCATTTTAGAGTGTTTGAAGAAATTTTTAATATCATGATTTCTCCTATCAATGTATATCAAATATTCTCCCCTTTTTCTTTATATTGTATTAAGCCCATCTTCTCCCATACAGGAACACCATTAAAAAAGGATTTAATATGAGATTACATTCAAGAAACCTTTAAAAACTGGTTGACCATAAAAACCATTTCTTAATTTGCGCCATGACTTTTAGCATTTTAGAGAAGCATAAAAACTAGCCAATTTACTAATATTGTTATTAAAAAAGTTGCTATAAATACTAAGTTTGTGTGTAATATTAGCCTTCTAGGCAGATTTGCAATAATTGGGCACTTCAATTAATTGTGGGGGTAAGAAAATACAAAGAAGTAAAGCTAGACATTTTGACAAAATGATATAATTAGGTAGAGAAAAAACAATTTGAAAATTTACAGCAAGGTTGCAGAAAAGAATTTCTATTCATTGGTTTAAAATAGCTATGTATTTACATATTATTTTTTTCTTATTCTAATTCAATTTAAAGAAAGTGAAAGAGGATAGCATTATCCTTTACAATGATCTGATCCAAAATGCACTTGACATTATTTGGCAATAATCTTAGTAAAAGAGGTATATACAGTATAATTGATATCAGAAATGCAACATCAATCAGAAGACAAATCCTGATAAATGACCAGCCAGAAAAATATAATCTCCAAATGATTCACTATGCAACTTTATTCAAGCTTACTTGGAAATAATTTTTAGGTTCTACTCCTAGGAAGACTTACAGAGGATCTCAGCATCGCTCTCCATAGATTTTTACTTGACTATCTCTCTATAATCCAGCTAAGAACACCAACCATAATTGCTGTTAGAACCCTCAGCATCAGAAAATTGCAACAAAGTGTATCCTGAATCCTATTTGTACACCTACTTTTCAAACATACTATGGGAAGAAATGTCAGCTTTCAGTTACTGCCTTTAGTTACTGCTTTCAGTTACATTAGATGCATTTTAAGGAGAAATTTAGAGAACAAAGTCTTTCATTCTTTTCCTATATAACTTGGGGTTATTATGTTTCTCGTTTTTTCCTCCAGTTTTATTTCATAATTATTGTTAACTATAGATAAATAAAAGTAGAAATAAAAGAAACCAATGTCATCTGCTGATCCTTTTATTGTGCTATTGTGTTATTTTGATTATGGCAGTGACTCGGGTACCAAATTTGGACTGCAAAAATATAGATTGCCAACAAATGGCAGAAAAGAGTGAGGATTTTCTGCTTCCATCTGGTGCCCATCCAAATTTTACAGTCCACAAATTTGGGCTGAACTATGGAGTGGGATTGATCTATGAATAATCAAGGTGTTTTGGGGTTTTTTGTTAGAAGGTTGATGCTATAGGCCAGTGGTGGCGAACCTATGGCATGTGTGCCAGAGGTGGCACTTGGAGCCCTCTCTGTGGGCATGCGCGCTGTTGACCCAGCCCTGCCTCCCCCTGCAACCCCCTCCTCACCAGCAGCCTGTCCGGAGGAGAGTCTCCCTCAAGCACGGCCCATGGGGAGCAGCGCAGCCAAGCACATGGCAGCCGGGCAGCAGGGGCAAGACTCCGCCCTCATGCCCCATCACGTGCAGATGATGATGTGAGGTGTAGGCAGAGAGCGTGGCTGCCATGGCGCCGCAAGGTCGCCTGGGTGATCTGTGGTGAGTGGCCATGTGGGTGGGCGGAGTGGGGGTGAAGCGGGGGGCAGAGTGGGGGCGGGCTGGTTTTTGGGCACTCGGTCTCTAAAAGGTTCGCCATCACTGCTATAGGCAACTATGTTGTAGAGGAAAGGGAAATAGTCCACCCTTGAGTTGGAGAAAGAACGTGGAGATGGAGGAGAAAGTAAGGCATTGTTTTTAATGATCTACTACAACAAATGGATTGAGAAAGAAACTTTCTATAGCATTGATCTAAACAAAGCTGAAAGTAATGGAAACAGTAGCCATGTCATTACAGCCAGTGTCTCCTCTTCTTAACTAATCTTATCGGCAAATACCCACCAATACAACATTGCCCTTTTGTATATAACTTCTATTGAATTGCAAAGGTACCTTTGAATTGGGGAAAAGAAACATTTTCTCTTACCTGCATGACAGCTGATTTATGCCTTCAATATAATAACACACTCCACCATTCACACAATAGGATTTCACGGTTTCATTGCATTGTCTAGTATGTCCAGGCCCAGAAGGCAGAGTTGTGGTTACTGCAAGGAAAAGGAGATGCATTACATCATTATTTTACCTTTTAATTTCTTAAGTACGCTACATTTTATTTATTTACTTCTGTTAATGTAGGAATTTATAGTTTGCTCTTCAACAATTTTTAGGCCATCTTACAAGGACTCCAAAAAACATAATACAGTACAAATGAAAAGAAATAAAAATCCACTGTTTTCTAAAAAAATCAGCAAGATAAAATTGGATTGAAAACCTGAAATCTCTTTGGTATTGACATTTTACCCAAATAATCAAGGCACTATTTCAAGAACACTCTCCTTTTTTTCCAAGAAGAATTCAGAGATAGACTATGACCTACAACAACATTTGAAGGACATAGGAATGCTTAACCTTGAGAAAATATGACATAATTGAAAAGATGTCATAAATACAACTAATGCCTGTTCTCTTTGCCTAACTCTTTCCATGCAAGATCTGGAATAATAGACCCAAGTTAACAGGACAGCAGAGCCTCACTGAATGTTAGGGGAAAAAATCCTATTTATAACACTAGCTGATAGTGAGCCCTATCATCCCAATAATTGGAGGTCCTCTCTTCATTGGAAATGTTCAGGCAGAAGTTAGGGGGCCATCATTCTTGGATTCTTGAATTTGGATTCCTGCTTTAGAGGTTAAACCGGTGATGGTGAACCTATCACACACATGTCATAAGTGACACACCATGTCATTTTTGGTGATATGCCAGCACGTCCTATTCTTGCTTAGATTTCTGCACTTGCTTTTCTGGGGGTTTCTGCTGCTGCAGTGGCTACATGATAATGTGGTGTGTGTTCTAATGTGACCTATGAAACCTCTGGAAGTCATGTGAGGGAGGCCTGCTCTCAGAAGGCCTCTGGACCTCCAAAAATTGTGCAAGACAGGAGCACACCTTCTTACTCTTTTTGAAGGCTGCAAGGCCACACAAGAGCATTCTCTGAAGTTTCTAGAGTGAAGGCCTCATGCCTAAATTGTTCCTTCCAATTCTGTTATTATATTCTTCTCTCATACCTACACCACAGACACATAAAACTACAATTCTGTAATAGCAACTTGGGTTGCTATAAGAAAGTGATCAAAGGGGATTAAAAAAATATTTTTTAAGCCACCGTGACATTTAGTTTGGAAGACATATCAGGAAAGCAGTCTGTTCATATAGACCAGACATGTCTAACTCGTGATGTATCGGGACGGTTTTGCCATTGCCAGCAATGGGGCGGGCATGGCTTCTGCGTTACGCATCTGGCCCACAGGCTGGCAGTTTGACACCCCTGATACAGACCAAAGGCAATTCAAGGAGATTTCTGTTAAGAGACTTGGGAAATTCCCTGGCATTGGCATCAAGTGAACATCTCAACTGTAAATGACAGAACCAGAAAGGATCATATAATGTAAGCTGTCTCACACATTGCATATTGTATAGAATTTGTGGTGGACAGCATTTCCAGAGGGACAATGAACTGAAAAAATAATAAATAGACATTTAGACAAAATTGTCTTATTTAATAGTGATTGACCTCAAACATTTGTATTGATGCCAATATTTGACAGAGAAATATGCTAAGGTTTTGAAGAAAAGGATAATGTCATCTGATGTGATTTGCCACTGACTAGTCATGAAACATAAACATTAGATTAAAAAATTTAGATTAGAAAACATAATAAAAAATCTGCAGAGAAGAAAGTTCATTTTTTTTAGATTATATTCAGATAGAGTTGGTAAGGAGACATTTTAGAAATCCATTCATGATTTTACTATATAAAAGCTATGCTATACTCAGCTCCCCTTTATGGATTACTGCCTTGTTGTGGCGAAGGGGCTTGCGTAACTCAATGAAGCTATAAGCTATGCCGTGCAGGGCCACCCAAGATGGACAGGTTATAGCAGAGAGTTCTGACAAAATGTGATCCACTGGAGAAGGAAATGGCAAACCACTCCAGTATCTTTGCCATGAAAACCCCATGGACAGTACTAAAAGGCAAAAAGATATGACGCTTGAAGATGAGCCCCTCAGGTCGGAAGGTGTCCAATATGCTACTGGGGAAGAGCAGAGGGCTAGTACTAGTAGCTCCAGAAAGAATGAAGCGACTGGGCCAAAGCCGAAAGGACGCTCAGCTGTGGATATATCTGGTGGTGAAAGGAAAGTCCGATGCTGTAAAGATTTTTTCTCCATAGGAACCTTGAATGTAAGATCCATGAATCAAGGCAAGCTAGACATAGTCAAAAAAGAGATGACAAGACTGAACATCGACATCTTAGGAATCAGCGAACTAAAATGGACAGGAATGGGTGAATTTAACTCAGATGACCCTCAGGTATACTACTGTGGGCAAGAATCCCTCAGAAGAAATGGAGTAGCCTTCATAGTCAATAAAAGAATAGGAAAAGCAATACTGGGATACAATCCCCAAAATGACAGAATGATCTCAATTCGAATCCAAGGCAAACCATTCAATATCACAATAGTCCAAATCTATGCCCCAACCACTGATGCTGAAGAGGATGAAATTGACCGGTTCTATGAAACCCTACAGCACCTTATAGAATTAACACCAAAAAATGATGTCCTTATCATCATGGGGGATTGGAATGCTAAGGTAGAAGCCAAAAGATAACCGGAATAACAGGCAAGTTTGGCCTTGGAGTACAAAATGAAGCAGGGCACAGGCTAATAGAATTTTGTCAAGAGAATACGATGGTCATAACAAACACTCTTTTCCAACAACCCAAGAGACGGCTCTACACATGGACATCACCTGATGGTCAACATAGAAATCAGATTGACTATGTGCTCTGCAGCCAAAGATGGAGAAGCTCTATACAGTCAGTAAAAACAAGACCAGTAGCTGACTGTGGCTCAGATCATGAGCTTCTCGTTGCAAAATTTAGGCTTAAATTGAAAAAGTAGGGAAAAGCACTAGGCCACTCAGGTATGAACTAAATCATATTCCTGATGAATATACAGTAGAGGTGACAAATAGATTTAAGGAATTAGATCTGATAGACAGAGTGCCTGAAGAACTATGGATGGAAGTTCGCAACATTGTACAAGAGGTAGCAACTAAAACCATCCCAAAGAAAAAGAAATGCAAGAAAGCAAAATGGCTGTCTGAGGAAGCTTTGCAAATAGCTGAGGAAAGAAGGGAAGCGAAAGGCAAAGGAGAAAGAGAAAGATACACCCAATTGAATGCAGAATTCCAGAGAGTAGCTAGAAGAGATAAGAATGCCTTCTTAAATGAACAGTGCAAAGAAATAGAAGAAAACAACAGAATAGGGAGGACCAGAGATCTCTTCAAGAAAATTGGAGATATGAAGGGAACATTTCATGCAAAGATGGGCATGATAAAGGACCAAAATGGCAGGGACCTAACAGAGGCAGAAGAGATTAAGAAGAGATGGCAAAACTACACAGAAGAATTATACAAGAATGAGCTTAACATCCCAGATAACTACAATGAGATGGTCACTGACCTCGAACCAGACATCCTAGAATGTGAAGTGAAATGGGCCTTAGAAAATCTGAGCAACAACAAAGCTAGTGGAGGTGACAGTATTCCAGCTGAGCTATTCAAAATCTTAAAGACGATGCAGTAAAAGTGCTACACTCAATTTGCCAGCAAATTTGGAAAACTCAACAGTGGCCACAGGATTGGAAAAGGTCAGTTTACATTCCAATTCCAAAGAAAGGCAATGCAAAGAATGTTCAAACTATCGCACCATTGCACTCATTTCACATGCTAGTAAAGTTATGCTTAAAATCCTACAAGCTAGACTCCAGCAGTATGTAGATCGAGAATTTTACAGAAGTACAGGCAGGATTTCGAAGAGGCGGGACTAGAGATCAAATTGGCCAACATACCTGGATCATGGAGAAGCTAGGGAGTTCCAGGAAAAACTCTACTTCTGCTTCATTGACTATGCGAAAAAGCCTTTGATTGTGTGGATCACAACAAATTGTGGCAAGTTCTTAAAGAGATGGGAGTACCAGACCATCTCATTTTTTCTCTTGAGAAACCTAATGCGGGTCAAGAAGCAACAGTGAGACTGGACACGGAACCACTGATTGGTTCAAATTGGAAAAGGAGTCCGTCAACGGCTGTATACTGTCCGCCCTCCTATTTAACTTATATGCAGAGCACATCATTATAAAAGGCAGCTAGATGAATCAAAAGTTGGAATTAAGATTGCCGGGAGAAATATCAACAACCTAAGATATGCAGATGATACCACTCTAATGGCAGAAAGTGAAGAGGAACTAAAGAGCCTCTTGATGGGGGTGAAGAAGGAGAGTGCAAAAGTTGGCTTGAAACTCAACATTAAGAAAACCAAAATCATGGCATCCGGCCCTCTCAATTCCTGGCAAATAGATGGGGAAGAAATGGAGGTAGTGACAGATTTTATTTTTCTGGGCTCCAAGATCACCTCAGATGGGGACTGCAGCCAAGAAATTAAAAGACGCTTGCTCCTGGGGAGGAAAGCTATGGCAAATCTAGACAGCATACTAAAAAGCAGAGACATCACCCTGCCAACAAAAGTGCGTATAGTCCAGGCCATGGTTTTTCCCAGTTGCAATGTATGGCTGTGAAAGTTGGACCATAAGAAAGGCTGAGCGCAAAAGAATTGAGGCCTTTGAACTATGGTGCTGGAGAAGACTCCTGCGAGTCCCTTGGACTGCAAGGCGTTCAAACCGGTCAGTCCTAGAAGAGATCAACCCCGACTGCTCTTTAGAAGGCCAGATCCTGAAGTTGAAACTCAAGTACTTTGGCCACCTAATGAGAAGGAAGGACTCACTGAAAAGGGCCTAATGCTGGGAAAGATTGAGGGCAATAGAAGAAAGGGACGACAGAGAATGAGATGGCTGGATGGAGTCACTGAAGCAGTAGGTGTGAACTTAAATGGACTCCAGAAGATGGTAGAGGACAGGAAGATCTGGAGGAACGTTGTCCATGGGGTCGCGATGGGTCGGACACGACTTCGCAATTAACAACAACAACAACAACATACTCAGCTATTTTTGTTTTAGCATGTGGGATGTTTGTATTTTAGTAAAAAGAGGGAAGGCACTTTTCCCTTCAAATAAATATCTGCATCAGAGAACCAGCAGTCAAATATTCAAGGGAAGTTTGACAATATAATTCAAAAATTCTATTTTTTATAGTGATGCTATTTAGGAAACAAAAACAAACAAACTATTCTTTGGACCTTTCATTCCTGATTTTTTTTTCTTTAGAATCTTCTTTTTTTTTTTAAAAAAAAAAAAAAGTTTTTTATATATAACACAGTTAAAACAAAGATGGACATAGCGTAACATTCCAGTATAAATATTTCTAACAATTTGTTCCTCTTCATACATATAATTCTTAATCTCTATATATACATACATATATATTTTTCTATGCAATACAATATCTAATTTATTTCTCTATATACGAACATACAATTATATATGTTTCTATCTTAACACTAGCTTCTAACCCGAACAGTCCTCCTTGATTCACACCAATAGTAAAATTTGTCCCATATTTCAAAATAATCTGACTGTCTTGTCCTTCATTTCCATTGTGAGCCTATCCATATCTGCACACGATAGAATTTTGTATAGAATCTCTTCTTCTGCTGTTGTTTCTTTATAGAATCTTCTTGTAATCCATAGTATTTTGAAAGTTCTCCTTGTGATAGGTTGACATTTTCCTGATTTGTAGCAGAACAGCACACCTTGTCTAGAACTGGATTTTCTTGAGTTTTGTTGTTGCACTTCTTATATCATTATGATTTGGATAGCTCTGTAATTATATTTTCTTTTTGAATGTCTACATTTTAATAGTTTAAATGGGTATACTTGTTTTTTTAATAATAAAGTTTGATCTTTTTTGATCTCTCCTATGGGGAGGAGATTGTCCAACTTCCTATTTGGTGGTGGATGGGTAAAAGGGCAAAAACTTTTAATCACCACACTTCTACACTACATAGTCCAGAGATAGCACTATCAACATTATTTTGATATTTGTATTTTGACCTTTTAATCCCTAGAAAAATAGCAAGGGGTAAGAGAAATGTGTTTCTCTTGCATTGTTACAGAAATAAACGCCAAGCGAGGCATGGCTTGGAAGATAGTTGCTACCAATCTTCTACCCCAAAGTGGGTGACAGGTGGGATAAACCCAGGTTGTGAAAACTCAAGAGGGATTCTGAGATAGAAGAATTGGGTACTGCTACATATAGATTTAATTGTGATCACAATTTCTTGAACAAAAGAGGTAAAGAGAGTTATGGACCTGATCCTGTGATAGCTATCATTATGGGCATCATCTCTCCCTGCCTCTCTCCCTCCCTCCCTCTTACACACATATACACAGAGGGAGGCAGGCAGGCAGGCAGGCAGACACACAGACAACCCAGCATTGGAAAAGCTGCTTTGGAAAAAGAATGGGCACCCTCTATAGCAGGGGTCTTCAAACTTGGCCCTTTTATGACTTGTGGACTTCAACTCCCAGAATTCCTCAGCTAGCCAAGTCATAAAAGGGCCAAGTTTGAAGACCCCTGCTCTATAGCTTGGCTTCTCCTTAAAGAAGCCTTTCTGGATGTGCAGCTCATGAAAATATAAGTTTCAGTTAAAAAGGTGTTGAGGTGGCAACAGGGTAGTGGCAGCAAAGGAGGCGGAAGTCAATATAGCAGTTAATACAGGGTGGTCACTGGAATTAACACAAACCCATCACTGACAGTTAGTGGCATCATCCATAGATTTAGACTATAGTAATTGATTAATTCCCTTTAAAGCTATCTAAATTATTGTCCTCAGCACATTTTATAGCAGTGGTGGTGAACCTATGGCACGCGTGCCAGAGGTGGCACTTGGAGCCCTCTCTGTGGGCACACATGCCATCGCCCCAGCCCCGCTTCCCCCTGTGGCCCCCTCCTCACCAGCAGCCTCCCTGGAGGAGAATTGCCCCCGGGTGTGGCCCACACGGAGCAGCAGGCAGCAGGGACACAACTTCGCCCTCGCACCCCATAATATGCAGATGATGCTGCGGGGTGTGGGCGGAGGGCGTGGCTGCCATGATGCTGCAGGGCTGCCTGGGTGATCTGCTGCGGGCTAAGGAGGCGGAGTGGGTGGGTTGGGCAGGGGGTGGGTGGGGGCAGAGCAGGCAGGGTGGGAGGCGGAGCGGGGGCGGTTTTTGGGCACTCGGTCTCTAAAAGGTTCGCCATCACTGTTCTATAGCATATACTGCAAAAGAAGGAAATATCAACTATATTGATCCTGAAAATCACTATGTTATATTTTTTGGGTTGGGGAGAGGGATTTTTTTTTTCAGTTGCTTGCCTTTTGAGTGTATGGTCAATACAGATACATGCACTGAGCAAAAATCCAGAGGAACCCCTACAAAGAATATTGCAATAGCATTTTTCTAGCAGAATGAGCTATTTGAAAAGAACAAATGAAGACTCAATAGATGAATAGAACATGCTTGTTCTAGGTCCCTTCAGTCAAATTGTACATGGTTTTGTAGGACCTCAGAGATGTACCTTTTCTATGGATGCCCTTGTTCTGTAGCATAGTATCTTTCCTGAAGCGCATATTATCATTAGGAGAAGCCCTTAAAAGGGGGCTCTTTCAAAGGATACCCTATCACACTACAATAATATTGGGATATAGTCTTTGGTGTTCTTTTCCAATAATATTAGGAAGGAGGTGTTGGTTATTTTTTTCTTAGTCTTTTTTCCACTTTAAATTATGCAAATATATGTAGAGTGCCTGGAATCACTTGTACACTTGCAGCAACTTACAGGTTGAACAAATAGAGTTTCTCAAACTTAAAAAGATAAAGGAATCAAAAAGGGTACGAGAATCAACTTCAGCACAAAGGTCAAAGATTGGAGGACAATATCCAATAATATATAACAGAAGTTAAGAAGAGAGTCGGACAAACAAAAGATAGTTATTTAAATATAAATGGAGAGAAAGAGTTCCAACTGTAGAGTCCATTCAAAAGAAGATGATACAAAGGCTTAAGGAAAGACAAAAGTGTTATTGAAAGAGAAGAACAGCAGACTTTCCCAAGATGGCTACCTGCCTTGTTCTTTGATGAGGACTGGAAGGAAGGGAAGAAACTATGTACTTTGTTATTTGATTATAAGGTACATCTCTCCAGAATGCTGCCTAATCCTGATACTAGGATACTAATTTTGTTTGGTTTTATGTGTTCCAAAATGAACATGACATTTAAATAATATATAAATAGTATGGATGAATAAGGGCAAAAACCGTGCAGAGTCACCCTACTTGCATTCCTAACAAGCCTAGAACTACAGTATCAAAATTAACCACTTCATGAAAAGGGAACTTTTGAGAATTAAAACAATATTTTGTTGTAGAAATCTTGCAAAAACACTCATGAAAGATGCAAACCCAAGAGAAAGTTAAATAATTTAAGTATTGTATTATTACATCATAGCAAGTAATGGAGATCTTTACAGCACTCTTTAGTTAAATATCTGGCTCACAGCAAATTCCAACATACACTTCCATACCATTTGATTCAATAAGACTTCTTCTTGAGTAGACATGCATGTAGTTGCAATCCTATTTCCAAGAAAGTTCTACTCTATGAACTGGGACTTATTTCTGAGAATACAGAATTAGGGTTCAAAATGCACAGAATTTGTGGGAAAGATCACAAACAAACGCAAAATGGACAACTACACTTTGTTTTTTTCACCTGCATCCAATAGCATTATTTGTAGTCAAGTGTTGTTATAGTTAGCATTATTTAATCTAAAATAAAACAGCAAGTTCATAGTGGACATATTTACTAGAACATCTTAATGTGTTATAAAAATTTGTAGACCCTTTGAAATTGTGAATAAGGATTAGTAGCTAGCTGAATCAAAATGCAGCTTCCATATGAAAGATCCTGTAATCAAATTGACATTACAGTATCTTTTTTCATGAAAACTCAACTAACACACCTGTACACATATACCCTTAAGGCATCTTATATGTGGTTCTTCTTCTCCCACCAATTGTAAAAGCCAGTTGAAACTAAATATATCATTTTGAGTCAGTATTATAACTTACCACTCCTGACTATGAGACTGCCTGTGGCAATGTCTGTTCCCAGGACATTCTCAGCTTCACAACTATATTCCCCAGTATCTTCAACTTTCACTTTACTGAACTGAAGTCTAGATATTTTCCTGGGGAAAAAGAAAGAAAGATAGACTTGGTTATTACACTACATTAATAATGACATTAGGTGGAGTTAACAATTACCTTAAATAGCCTTTTACCAAAATTAAATACATTCTCTAGTGAAGATTTTTAAGGAAAATTATAGGGTTTTACCACAAAGGAGAAAGGGCTATAACAAGTAATAATAGTGCTTTGTGAATGAATTGAAAATGACCATCAGAAACAGATAATGGGGAGAAGTAAAAGAGACAATTTTTCCATAAAAACCAGGAGGTCAATCCACATATTTTTTTAATTCCAATATCTAATGATGATTTATTGGCAACAAATGCGAGCAACTGAATATAACTTTCTCTGGTACTTTCATCACCACTCACAAGATTTTGATGATCAAAGGAGTGTAGTCTGATCACAAGGATCATTGTAATTTGGAAACACATCTGCCAGTCACTAAATCCTATATTCCCTCTTTCAAACTAGGCATACTAGGCAGCACCCAAAGTGGTGATGGGGGTGGGGTACATACATTGCTTTGAAAGGGTGATATCTTCTTTTTCATCCATTTCATAGAGAGAGTCCTGAATATTATAGGAACTACATATATTGCAACTCCAAGAAAGTAAGCATATGTTGTATCATCCCACACTCAGGCCTACTTTTGGAGGCAAAAAAAATTAAGACTGGTTTTATTTCCAGGAAAACACAGTATATGTTCTTGATCGAGTCATGCTGATTTGTATCAATGAATTCATTCTTTATTAGATGTTTATATTCTGCTCTAGTATCATTGCATATCAATGTCAGATATATTGTTCCTTTTTGCTTTTGTGATCCTCCTTTTGCTCTTTTTGTTCTTCTTTGTTCTGCTATCTATTCTCCAGGATCCTCAAATAAAGGATAGACATAAAATAAGTAGGTGTTCCCTGATTTGAATATAAATCTTATTTCAACTCTTTTCAGGAGTCACTGAACCAGAATTCAGTAGTTTGACATTTCTTTACTACTCAATAGTATATCTTTGGCTTAACTGAGCAAATCATATATTGATTTTTCTTTCTTCCTTTTTTATAACTTATCTGAAGAGAGCATTTTGCAAATGTCAACACAACTTCAACTTTTTGATCATATTTGTTATTGTTTTGTTTTTGTTATGTTTTTTGTTATTGTTGCTATTATTGAAACTTGGTGGGATGAAACCCATGACTGGAACATACTTCTAGAAGGATAAAAATGGTACAAAAGTAACAAAACCATCTCAAAAAGGGGAGGAGGAATTGCATTATCTGTAAAAAATTATACTCATTCAACAGAAGTGCACAATACAAGAGATAAAAGCCTTTTTGAAAGTATTTTGGTAAATATCAGAGGAAAAATAAATGACATTGCCATAGGAGTGTACTGCAGGCCACCCAACCAAGTGGAGGAAATAGATGAACTCTTTGCTAATCAGTTAGCTGAAGTGTGCAGGAAACATGCCACTGTAGAAATGAGGGACTTTAACCACTATGACATAAACTGGGAAACAAACTCTGCAGTGAGTGGGAGATCAAATAGGTTCTGACATGGCTGGCTGAGAACTTTATCACTTAAAAGGTGGAAGTGGGAACTAGAGGGTCAGCTATAATCAGTGCTTTTTTTCTAAAAAAAAAAAAAAGGTGCTGGAACTCACACATGTCATACAACCCACCTTGCCTACCCTACAAGGTTCCACCCAAAAAAGGTGCCGGAACTCCGTTTTGGGCGTTCTATGAGAAAAAAAGCCCTGGCTATAATGGACTTAATCGTACCTAATAGAGATGAAATGATAGAGGGAGTGGAAGTTGTAGGAACTTTGGGGGAAAGTGATCATATCATATTAGAATTCACTACAATGCAGACACAGGCAACTGAACAAAGTCAAAATAGTGTTTTAGACTTTAAGGGAGGTGACTTCAACAAACTAAGAGATGGAAAACCTAAAAGAAAAAGCAGTTTAGGGCGCATGGGAAACTCTGAAAAATGAAATACTAAAGGCAGTACCACAGAAAAACAAAAGACACCAGACAAAACTGGCACAGTGCACACAGAGCTCTCTGACAAACTGAGACACAAGGACAAATATAAAAAAATGGGAAAAGGGGCATATAACTAAAACAGAATACCAACAATAGCCCAAATCTGCAGGCATGGAGTCAGGAAGGCTAAGGCTCAGAATGAACTAAGATTTGCAACAAATGCCCAAAAATAACAAAAAAAAGGTTCTTTCAATATGTAAGGAACAAGAAAAAACTCAAGGGAACGATCAATCCACTAATGGAAGAATACAGCAAGAAGTTGGTGGGCAGCAGGGAGAAAATGGAGCTGTTTAATTTCTTCTTTACATCTATTTTTATGCAAAAAAAAAAAATAGCTGATCCCTTCAAAAGTAGCACAGTGGGAGACAGAATGGGATGCAGGTCAAAATAGGTAAGAAATTGGTTAAAAAAAACCTATCCACTTTAGACAACATCAAATCACCAGAACCAGATGGTTTATATCCCAGGGTACTGAAAGAGTTGGCAGATGTGATCTCGAAACCCTTGAACAAAAATCTTTCAGAGCTTCTGGAACACGGGGGAACTGCCAGAAGACTGGAAACAAGCTGATGTGGTTCCAATCTTCAATGAGGGATAAAAAGTGGATCCAGGAAACTACAGACCAATCAGCTTGACATCAATACTTGGAAAAATCCTGGAAAAGATAACCAAGCAGCAATTTGTGAGCACTTAGAAATGAACAAACGAACTAACAAGTTCATTAAAAACAGATCATGCCAGACAAACCCTATGTCCTTCTTTGATAAAGTAACTAAATTAGTGGATCAGGGAAATACTGGGGATAGTTTACCTGGACTTCAGTAAGGCATTTGACAACGTAGACTACGACCTACTAATTGGTAAGACAGAACAATGTGGGATAGTACCACCGTATGGATTCACAATTGGCTGACCAATTAAACTCAGTGTGTAGTACTTAATGGAACTACATCTTCATGGAGGGCAACATGAAGTGGGGTACCTCAATGTTTGGTCTTAGCTCAGTGGGGGTAGAAGGGGAACACATCAGACTGGAGGGAATTTCCAACACTTTGAAAGATAGACTCATAATTCAGAAGGATTTTGACAGACTTGAGCACTGGGCCTTTTCAAACAAGATGCAATTCAATAGTGAGAAAAGCAAAATCCTGCACCTAAACAGGAAAAATCAAATGCACAGGTATAGAATAGGCAGTACCTGGTGCAACAGTAACCATGTGGGGGACATCATTAAAGTATGAGCCAGCAGTATACTGCAGCTGCCAAAGGCCAACGCAGTCCTGGGCTGCATCAAAGAGGGATAGCATAAGAATTATGAGTAACAGTACCATTCTGTACTGATATCACAACTAGAATACTGCATCCAGTTCTGGTTCCCATGCTACAAAGAAGATGCTGAGACCATAGAAAGTGTGCAGAGAAGAGCAACAAAGATGATAAGAGATCTAGAGACTAAGTCCTGTGATGAACGATTAAGGAAACTAGATCTAGTCTAATTTAATGAAAACAAGAATTAGGAGTGACACATGGCTGTTACAGGGAAGAGGGGGTGTACTTGTTCTCCAAAGCACCTGAGACCAGGACAAAAAGCAATGGGTGGAAGCTCGTTAAAGAGAAATCCAACCTGGAACTAAGGAGAAATTTCCTGACGGGTGCTCCCAGGTTCAGTTTATGGTCATTCCTTCACACACTCACAGCCCTGGAAAGTAGCCACAGTCAAATCACTTTCAACTGAACACAGAGACACATTCTTTAGAATACATAGAGACACAGTGAATTTAAAATAACAGCAAACTTACAACTTATATATTTGCTCTTTCTTCTCTTTCACACATACACACACTCATCCACACTTACCAACATCCTTCTCAACTAGGCTGGCAGGCACTAGCCAGAGGGATGAAAGCCATCCAAAGACATCTCAAAGAGTGGGTGGGCCCCCTTTTATCCCCCAAAACCCTTGCTTTGTTGATTCACAAGATTGGCAACTACTCTTGCCTTGTTGATTTACATGTCTGTAGGTGTTGATGGAATTTGGGGAGGGGTTTCCCATGTGCTCAGGCCCAAATTCTTTTGTCTGGTTTAGGTGACATTTTTACTTCGGTTCTTAACAACTTAGTTCTTTCTTATCTATCTCCTGAAGGAATCTTTTAGACATGATTCCTGTTTATCCATCCTCCTTACATGCCTGCATTATCTGTAGATATGGAGGCTTCAGCCTAGTCTTACAATTCGTTAAAGGAATAGTTTGCCTTCTGGAGTTATGGGTCCTCCATCGCTGGAGGTTTTTAGGAAAACATCTGACAGATGTTTGTCCAGGATGGTATAAGGTCTTCTACCTTGAATAGGGGATTGGATTAAAAGACCCTCAAGATTCCTTCCAGTCTTATAGTTCTATGTTTCTATGAATTCTATGCTACCTTTCTATCCTATTACATGGTCTCTTGCCTCTCTTTCTGCCATCCGTACCTCCAGTTTGGTTTTCAGAGTTTAATTTTTTGAATCCCTGTTCTATGAGATTAAAAGCTTAGCATGATAGGAGGGCTCAATAATGCAAATTTTCTGGAGAGGCATGTTGTTGGGAATATGATCTGTTGATCACTGTTGCTAATATGATCAAACAGGTAGAGTAAACCTTAGCTGGGGTAATCGGAGGTAACACTCAACCCACGTGAAGGCATTGTAATATGTAACTCCAAAGCACACATTGGTACGCCCCTTCTGTATTATTGCCAAAACAATTGTAAAGACATGCCTTAGATATTTAAATGGACATGTTAGGAAGCCAGACTCCCAAGCTGGCAATGACTCCTCTAGCTATTGGGAAATTTTCATGAGTTGATCTGGAAACAATCACATGTTCAGATCAAAGCCACACAAAAAAATAAAATAACCTGTGACAGTGACAGCATTGAAAGAGGATTCCCTCATTTTACAAGGGTTTGTTCAAC